TAAATGTAAGCAGCGGTTGTGGAGCAGAAAAAGAGGGGGGGGGGGGGGGGGGGGAATCAGTGTTCAGTGTTCAGTTTTTACTAATCTAACTGCAAAACCTGAAATCTGGTAAAATCTTTATTGCTCCTTGCATTGACTTGTGGGATAACTGTAGCCTTGGTATGAGTTGTCCTTTAAAGCATGCCCCCCACCTCCCTCAGTGCAGCCTACATAGTCCAATACTTACCTCTGTCCCCATTTCAACAAACTTCACTGCGCTGCCCTGTATAGTGGCAAAAGCTACCACGCAAGGTCCTCTTATTGTTCATTGTTATGGTCCTATTGATTCCTGGGGGGGTGGGGCGACACACGGCACGACACTGTACTCATGGCGGCCTGCAGCAATCCCGCAGTGTACGACTCCCTCCATAGTAATGAATGTGGCCCATGTGCATGATGCAGGATATGATCTCCAGTCAGGGCACTTATTACTTAAAGCTGAATTCCGGCCACAACAATTTTCATTTAATGTATCCATCTATAGCCACAAAAGGATATGAACCCACTTTGTGCACGCCAAATTATTTTACAAACCCAGTTATGACCGTGTAAAAGTAGCAGCCACATCATCACTGTTCTGCACATATTCTACGCAAGAGCAGAGCTGTAGGATGGTCTCAGCAGGCCTCACCCACTATAGGCTTCTTGCAACAACAAAAAAAAACTACAGGAGGGGGCAGAGACCAACCAACCTGCACAAGGAGAGAGTGATCAGCAGTGACTGGTCTTTATTACAGTAAGCTCCTTGCTTCCTGCCAGACTATTGTTTTCAAACAGTGGTGGGTATGCCTCCGTCAGAATACCTGAACACTGACTAGAGCTAATTGGCTGCAATCACTATTCAGCTGAGGACCGACTCCTTCTACAAATGTTGAATAAAAAATGCAACTTTTGTCGAACAGAGTAGTGCTGACTGGGCCACACTCTGCTCAGGTCCTGCTGACTCGGCCAAAATTCGAGCAGTGTACAGCCAACTTAAGTTTTACTATGTTGTGCATGCATCATAGGTTCAGTCCCACAATGAAACATTTACATTAGCAAAATAATTAAAAAAAAATTATTGTTTTTAACAACTAGTTTGCATTTGAGAAATCTTTCTGTTTGCTTGGAGTTCCACTATGGCTCTTTAGCTTCTTCTACAAATAAAAGCCTTCATTTTTTTATCTTGTTGATTTGTACTACTCATTTTAGAGGTGAAAATATCCACACTCTGGTCATTGTTAACATTCCACATTAATGGTGCCCAAGTAACTGTAACATAATCAGATTCTTCTTACCTGCGGAGCCCCACACTGACTACACGGAAGGGGAAGTCTCTGAGAAAGTGATAGCTTGGCATGGTGAATATCGCTGGCTCCCCCGGGGAATGGTTTCAGTATGCATTCACTGGGATCACCTGGGTGGAAGTGAGCTGTGATCTTTATCCGTTCACAGCCATGCTGGGAACAGTAACTGTACCCATTCCTGGACTCATAGGCTTGCAGATGAAGGAAGAGGTATCTGATGAAAGAGACATAACGGAATTACTAAAGAAAACTTCCAGGCACAAACATAAATACACAATCGCTTTAAAATAGCTGTTCTAAAATATTGAGAAATATACAGTATATTTCCCCAAATGTCCCTTTTTAGTACATTCTAGATCAGCGGTTCTAAATCTGTGGGTCACGACCCAAAAGTGGGTCGCAACCCCCTGTTGAGTAGGTATCAGCGCGTGCCTTCTGCTGTGCTAGGTAAGAGGCTCCTCAGCCTCCTCCAAGAGCAGCAGTGTCAGTTCTCCCGTCTGCCGCCAGATGACGCTGCAGCGGTCGGGGAGGAGCTGACAGCTGCGAGTGTTCTTTTTCTACATTTAGCCGTGCTTCGGGCAAGCAGGGCTAAACGTTCAGAGGGAGGACCGGTCAAGTGATTTTGGCGGCTGTACAGCTGCCTACATCATTTGTAATTAGCCTGCTGCTCCATCCCAACCCTCCGCAGCTGACACCCCGCCCCCCCCATGGTCCGTTCCCCTCTGCCGGCTGCCTCCTTCCTAGCCAGCTGCCTCCCTGGTTTTTGGGGTCGGGGGGACTTCCAGCAGTGTTTTCTAACTGTCTAAAGGCACCTGTCTGTCATCAGCCTCAGGAAGCAGAACACTGATGGGAAAACACTTGGTAAAATAAAATTCCACAATGGTTAAAACGGCCAAGCAAGTAATGCATAGACAATGAACCAGCATTATAAGTCAGATTCAGGGATTAAATAAGACTGAGTTGGTAGTATCAGAATTCAGTAATGACTCTGTGACTCATAACTGAATCTTTATTAAACTTAGAAGGTATTCCTATTGTAAGGAGACATATTCATTAAAGTAGATGTAAACCCTTATCAAAATGACATTTCATTTGCTAAAGCACTGTGATCACAAACAATTGTCTTTTGTTGTCACATTTTTTCTACTTTTATTGTCTCTCAGTGCTAATGATCACCTACAGCCTCTATGGAGCCTCTTCCTGTCTACATGCACTCACTCCAGCAATAGCTGCATTGCATTTCTCAGGGTGGGTTTTCTGATGGTGACAGTAGTGGACCATGCCTGCGTAATGTGTGTTGAAATGGCCACTTTCCATCTGAGGGCCCTGTGACAGAGTCAGAACAATGGGAAGGCAGGGACAGAGCTTTATCACCCTATAACAGGAAGTCCCTTAATAAAGACCTTCATGGCAGGATAATCAAGTATTATTTTAATAATAGCTGCCAAAGTATAAAATATTAAAAAGTACTTTTGAAATGGCATTATCATGTCAACATTTACATGAGATTTTAGTGGTTTGGTTTAGGTATACTTTAAGCCTCATTCGCGCATTTGGACTTTTTGATCCGTGGTATTCATAATGCAGTTTCGGTGCAATGATGAGGTGTCCTTGGTGGAAGCCTGTCACTGTACAGTACACACTGAAGCTGTGTAAATCTACATTTAGAACATTGCAGATATGCAACTGCGCCTTGAAATATGGTAAAAAGCTTGGAAAGTCACATAGGTCTGAACAAGTATTCTGTGCTGAGAACTTAAGCTGTCTTTAGCCATTTTGCTACCCACTAACCACAAAAGGCCTAAATGTTAGGAAAAACCCTGGCGTTCACAAAGTGTTAGTGGTCTCTTAAGATAATACAACCATCGAGCAGTCCATTTTTTAAGTACTCCAAACTGATGAAAGTTGTTTTTTTACAATTTGCGCATCGCTGATCTTTGCACATGTTAATGGGCCAAAGCTCTCAGTTTAGGTTTGTGACGGCTACATACCCATGAAAACCACAAAGAAAGCCAATATGCAGTTTTGATGTGGTTTTCAGCACAGTTTAGTGCAGTGAAGGCAGTTTTTTATAAGTTCTTCTCAAACTGCTCTCAAGGGAAAGAACATCTCAACTTTGAATTGGAGAACTTTCAAATGTTACACAGTTAATGCTATGGAATTAATATAGTCAAGGTTAACACATCAAGGTCAAAGGGACTGTATGCTCATTGGCTCAAAGTAAGACTGTAATTGCTAAATAGTGAATGAACATAGAATTTCCAAGCAGTAACATATCTGATTCAGAAGTCATGACTGAGGTGCATCATCTAAAGGTTGTTTTACTAAAGCAGACCCCTAGATATAAGATGCTTATCTCTCAATATGGTCAATTATGATTAATATTGGAAATGATCATATGTCTACGACTTGTACAGTCTAATCTCAGGAGAATTTTCTTCGATTCTCCCTTTTGTTGGCCAATACAAGCATTCATTTTAGTGTTTCCCTTAAAATAAGTCAGTATTAGGGGTATCTTCTCAGTACATAATCATAGATGGTTGGCCGATACAAGCATGCAAAGGTGTGCGCAGCCTATTGCATTAGGGTGTGCACACAAAGGTTCAACAATAATGATGCAAGTTCACCCTTAGAGTCATTTACACGAATGCTAAGACTTGTAACTCCACCACCATCACCACAATGCAGCCTTAGGTGTTGGAGAACTACAAGCACCAGCAAGAAAGAACTGCAATTTGAGCTTTTCTGGACAGAGGCTGGACATAAACCTTAGTGCCCCAGTAAAAGAAACTATGAAGATACTTTCCCCCTTTCCCTATGAAAAAAATGATTAATTTTGAATATTTTTTGGTTGATGCAACCATACAGCGTTTTGTCTGACCATCAGGTGATTGAGAACACAGGGGAGTTTTTCCATGGTGTCTCCTAATGAAATTTATCAGCAATAGATCCAATGTAATTTAAAAATGTTTTAACCATATTAGGTGTTTCACTGCTGTATTTACCTGGAAGCTGGTTTTGTGGGTATGGAAAGCCCTGTGGCATCATGATGGCCAAACCGTCATATTTGCTCTTTTTCAAGGGGGTGGATCTTGGAAGGTGAGTAATAAAGTTAAGTAGAGAATGTATGCCTGTGCCTATTGTAAAACTAGAAATTGACAATATGCTTTTAAATTGCTAAAAGTAAACCATTTAGAATTCCTAAATAAAATATTGTAGTTCAGTTGTGCAAAATAAAATGTATGTGGACAGGATTAGGTGGCAGAAATGCACCAATTGGGTGGGCTGCCAGTTATGGAAATTGTGCTTGACAATGTAGAAAACTTTTATAGCAATATGATCTCTTTTATTTATTTGCAGAATTATAGACAAGCCCCCTTTCACACCTGCGTATTACGTGAACACGTCAAAGGCGGAAACCCGGCAAAATGTGCAACGCGCTTGTGGTGCCATTAATTTCAGATGGCACCCCAAACGTGACCAGCATTTTTGCTCCACATTTGTGCGTGTGAAAATGCACACAAACGCGGAAGCAAAAAACATGCAGCACAAACTACTACATAAGTTTCTTTGCTGCATTTGGTGCGCCTATATGAACCTATTGAAATGAATGTGGATGCGAGGCAAATGCAGAAAACAAATGTGCGCAAACGCGATGTGTGTTCACGCTACGCCTAGGTGTGAATGCTGGCTAAAGTTTGCAGAGTAGATAGAAGAATATGATTTAGGCACTGTGCTGAAGTGGTTCACAAGCTAGTGAAGCTCACAGAGAGCACACACAGATGCACAAAAAAACAGACAGAAAGACACACACACAGACACACACACACACACAAAGACACACAGACACAAATACACACGCACAGATAAACACACACACAGACACCTGCAGCTATGGAGCAGGAGGAAGTGCAGGGGCAGGTGGGAAGGCTTCTCCTACAGCCCAGAGTGTGAGCAGGAGGAGTTACTGTGTGACATGCTACAGAGAGGGACACAGCAGGGGTGACAGCTCTGGCCACAGTGCAGACTAAGCACCCCCCAGCAGCCCCTGAAGTGAGTTCAGCAGAGAGAACAGGGGGCAAGGCTAACATTACAGGAGCAAAAGCCTGGCGTCCCATCCATACCGCTGCATCTTTGTATGTGAGGTAGTGTGTCAGCAGGGCATTAGGGGGTGCCCAGGCACACCCGGCACACCCCGTGCGCATGCCTATGCAAGCATGCATTTTAGTGTTTCCCTTAAAAAAGGTCAGTATTAGGGGTGTCTGCTCAGTGCATACACATCGATTGTTATCCAATACAAGCATGCATCTTAGTATTTACTTGAAAAAGGATCAGTATTAGTGTTCTCAGTGCATACACATAGATGGTTGGCCAAAAGAAGCATGCATTGTAGTGTTTCCCTTAAAAAGGGTCTGTATTAGGGGTGCCTGCTTAGTGCATTATGCACCAATTGGGTGGGCTGCCAGTTATGGAAATTGTGCTTGACAATGTAGAAAACTTTTATAGCAATATGATCTCTTTTATTTATTTGCAGAATTATAGACAAGCCCCCTTTCACACCTGCGTATTACGTGAACACGTCAAAGGCGGAAACCCGGCAAAATGTGCAACGCGCTTGTGGTGCCATTAATTTCAGATGGCACCCCAAACGTGACCAGCATTTTTGCTCCACATTTGTGCGTGTGAAAATGCACACAAACGCGGAAGCAAAAAACATGCAGCACAAACTACTACATAAGTTTCTTTGCTGCATTTGGTGCGCCTATATGAACCTATTGAAATGAATGTGGATGCGAGGCAAATGCAGAAAACAAATGTGCGCAAACGCGATGTGTGTTCACGCTACGCCTAGGTGTGAATGCTGGCTAAAGTTTGCAGAGTAGATAGAAGAATATGATTTAGGCACTGTGCTGAAGTGGTTCACAAGCTAGTGAAGCTCACAGAGAGCACACACAGATGCACAAAAAAACAGACAGAAAGACACACACACAGACACACACACACACACAAAGACACACAGACACAAATACACACGCACAGATAAACACACACACAGACACCTGCAGCTATGGAGCAGGAGGAAGTGCAGGGGCAGGTGGGAAGGCTTCTCCTACAGCCCAGAGTGTGAGCAGGAGGAGTTACTGTGTGACATGCTACAGAGAGGGACACAGCAGGGGTGACAGCTCTGGCCACAGTGCAGACTAAGCACCCCCCAGCAGCCCCTGAAGTGAGTTCAGCAGAGAGAACAGGGGGCAAGGCTAACATTACAGGAGCAAAAGCCTGGCGTCCCATCCATACCGCTGCATCTTTGTATGTGAGGTAGTGTGTCAGCAGGGCATTAGGGGGTGCCCAGGCACACCCGGCACACCCCGTGCGCATGCCTATGCAAGCATGCATTTTAGTGTTTCCCTTAAAAAAGGTCAGTATTAGGGGTGTCTGCTCAGTGCATACACATCGATTGTTATCCAATACAAGCATGCATCTTAGTATTTACTTGAAAAAGGATCAGTATTAGTGTTCTCAGTGCATACACATAGATGGTTGGCCAAAAGAAGCATGCATTGTAGTGTTTCCCTTAAAAAGGGTCTGTATTAGGGGTGCCTGCTTAGTGCATTCACATGGATGGTTGGCCAATATCTAGTGCAAAATGAGTATATTTTACTGTGGATTTTTATATTCTATTAAATCTAGGCAAGTTATGACAACCTTACACCAGCCGTCAATTTGCTGTTACAGACTGTGCTGGTGGCCAGGACTTTTGCTTACCTTGCAATGTACAGCAAATTCCTAGGAATCCGAGTAATATTAGTAGGGAGATGAGTTACTTTAGGAATTAATTATACTTTAAAGGGTAAGATTTGTTTTCATGACCTAAATGAGCTTCAAAAAACATTCTGTCATACAGTGATTCATATGAGCAGAAATATAAAGCCTACATTGAAAGAATGAATCCCCACACCAGATACACACACATCTCTTCTCACTATGAAACCTGATCATTATCATTCAAACAAGCAAGCAAGCATACTGCTGCCCATTGTACTGACAGAGTGGTGCAGGTGCAAAATTTGAACTGAATTATGACCTTCATATTTGGGAGTGTCTAGGGATTCATCTACCCTCCAGGGAGCTAATTCTTTTGGATGACATGTTCTAGCATAGTATAGTGTGCCAATAGAGCTAGAAGCAGTACAAAAAGGTTTAAATGCTGTTTCAGCATAGTGTCCACTTAAAGGAGAACTATGGGGTTAAGGCTTTTCCCCATAGTTCTCCTTAGGGTAACGGGAGGACACAAACTAGCGTCCTTCCGTCACCCTAGGCTCACGCCGCAGTATACCGCAAGCTGTAACTCGCGGTATACTGAGACGCTGAAGCGGATCCCGACAATTATACCGGGATCCGCCCAGCTGCGTGACTGACAGCTGGCTCTGCCTATCTGGAGGCAGAGCCAGCTGTACCCGCCCCCTCCCCCGTCTGTTCTGCCAGCCAGCGCTGGTGGATCGGAGCGGGGAGGGGGGAATCCAGCCCCTCCCGTCACGGAAGATAGCCGTGACAGGATCGAGAGGTGAGCGAACGCCGGTATGTGTTCGCTCACCTCCCGATCTACTGAGCCGACCTGTGACAGTCTCATTGTCACAGGTCGGCTAGAACTATGAGGTGAGTGAAAAGCACTCACCTCATAGTTCTCCTTTAAGAGAAGCACATACTGTATTAGTAAAAAAAAGGCAATATAAAACAGCCAATACAACTTGTAATTGCAAAGACTGTCATTGGGACATACATCGTTTATAATAACGCATAGGTCACATGACCTGTGAAAGGCCCATACAAACTTACCCAGAATCCTTACTAAAGTGATACAGTCTAAGCCCTGACGTGTTCAGAGCCTGATGAATAGAGGAGGTCATGGAATAGTGGCGGACGCTGTGCACTCTTCCAGAATTGCGTTCATAAATATCTGCTGTCACTTGAAATACTGAGGTTCTGGGGTAACACAGAGCAATCTGTAGCCAGTCTCCCCTGTTAAAACAAAGTTTGAAATCTTTTATGTACAACAGCATCCCTAATACATCAGTTTTATAGAAAAAAAGACTCCATACAAAGTACAAAATACAGTCATAGGTTAAACAAATCAAGGGCCTAATTGATTATTAACGATTATTGTTTTATGAACAACTAATAACATAATAAAAAAAAGATGATTATTATTTAATGAACATAAAATAATATAATAAAAAAGGTGAACACAAAGACAATATATGCCAATAATATCAATGAAATAAAGGAGCAAACACTGGATCAGCAAACAAAACCCCGCCAATCATGTGGCTTGCACATGATTGGATGATGAAAGTTGCCTTTAGTAAATCTACCCCAGTGTCTTCTGCACATCTACCCCAGTGTCTTCTGCACTGTGTATGGTGTTCGCCATTGCTGATTTTTACTGATAAAGCATTAGATGCCGTCATCTGTAATTCAGTGGTGATTGAAGTGGGTAAGGATTTGATTTATAAACACTAGAAATACAATGGGGGGCATTTATCAATTCTGCCACATGAAAACACAGTGCTGGACAGTGGCAGTAAGACAGACTGAGACAGACTTATTACAAGGTGACAGCTTGAGTCATAAATTCCACTATCAACTGCTCTAAAGTAGAACTGCGACAGAATCAAACTTGGGGGTCAAAAAATAAAGATGTATTTCTATATTGAATTTCCATAAATTCTATCCCACTCCCAATAACTATATCCATCTAGAAGTTTGTATGATGCCCATAGGATGTATTTCCTCAATGCAATGACACAATTTCATATTTGTAAATGTGCACTGCCTCGTATCTCACCTCTCGCTGAGCCTGCCTTATGAACTACAACTCAATGTCTGAACAATGTAACATTATCATGATGGAAGTAATGCATGATGGGATATGTAGTATTGAGAAATCAAGATTGCATCACATCAAGCAGCAGGGAAAGATATGCATTTTACCTTTTAAAGCCAGACATTTGTCCACAGATGTCACTGGAAGCGGAATTGGAAGGAAATCTCCCCACTGGAGTACACAGACAACAATAAAACACTACCCTACTCTTTTCAAAAAGAAAAAAGAATGGCAAGAGATTCCTTTTAATATCCATATTTGTCCTGATGGGTTCTCCTTTAAAAGTATACAATGCCAGCCATTAAATATGATGGAAAGGAGGAAAATAAAGAATGTGTGCAACAAAATCACTAATCTATTCTTGAGTGGAGGCAGGAATTGCTGCAACAAGCTTGGGCAGTACCAAGTGAGAGTAAAAGAAGGCTGGCACAGTATCATACAGCAAACATTCTACACTACAAGCCTCACATGATCCTCAGAATATTTTAGTAAAACCTACTATACTAGACTAATGAGGATGGGATCTGCTTCGTGTGTTGGACTATTTATTTTCCTATACAGACCAATGAACAAGAGAAAGCAGAAAATGGGGTTCATTAAATAAAGGCAAATAGGTTGTTCACTCTGAACGGGAATGTTCCCTTAGGCTGGGCACACACCTTACAACCATCGCAAGACTTTTGTCTTGCGATGGTTGTAAGGTACTTAAAAAAACGTACGATCTGCCTATGTTGCATAGGCAGATCGTATTTGCGATGATCGCAAGCCACGCCCCCTCAGGGGCGCGCTTCCGATGACCGCAATGCCGAACGGGCAGTGTGCGCTTGCGCACACCGGCCTGTACGGCTGTTATCGCACGGACATGCCACAAACCCGCCGAACATCGTACGATGCTCGGCGGGTTTTCGAACATGTCCGTAAGTTTAAAGTCGTGCGACCTTACAGTAGTAGAGGTCGCACAGCTTCCCCACACCTTACGATCATCGTACGATCGCGGGATTTCCCGCAATTATCGTACGATAATCGTAAGGTGTGTGGGGACCCTTAGTTTAGTGAATGAGGTGAAGCTCTGCTGACTTCCATCATCCAATCATGTGGAATCAAACATACTATTTTTTTTATTTTCTTTGCATGTGATTGGGTATTCTTTGCAAAGTGAATTTTCAACACATTATAGGGAAAATTCCTTTGCAAAGTGAACAGCTCATTTGCCTTCAGCAAATCAACCTCAAGGTGTTATGTTTCTGGAACTGTAAAGAGCCTTCTAACTCCTCTCCGTATCCCTTGCACTCCATTTCTCTACAGTTCTCTGTTGAATAGAGCAACAAATGCCCCAAGGTGGACAGATGGGAAAAAAATAAGGAACAAATTATCACATCATGTGCATGTTGAACCCTGGTGGTGTAGAGCAGGGGTGCCGTCATTCCTGGAGAATTCAGGAACATGAAATCAACGTTAAGGGGGTTATTCACAAAGCTGCCGCAGGAAGCCGACCCGAAGTGAAGTGAGCCAAACGCTGTTCGCTATTCACTTCAGGCTTGTACGGCTGATTTCAGCCGTATACCGGATGAAATCAGCCGTACATCGGGTGGCTTCGGGTCGGCCGAGCAAGCTCAGCATGTTCATCCGACCCTAAGTACAGAAGGAGTTCGAGTCAGCCGATCCTCCGGCAGGCTACACGCTGCTGTCGGCATATTCTCATAGATGCCAAACAGCAGTGAGTGAATAGCTGAATGCAGCTGAGCGGCATTCGGCTCGGCTATTCTGCTCGGTAAAGTTTTTTTTTTTTTAAACGATTGGGCAGAGCTAGCAGTGACAGCTAGCTCTGCCCAACTGTTTTCTATTGGCCGGGACCAACTGGTAACCAGGGATGCCCATCTGTCATTACACACTGAGAACACGTCGGAGTGATATCACAGCGGCCCTGCAGGGTTCTCAGTGTGTAATGACAGATGGGCGTCCCCGGTTACCTGCTAACCGGGGACGCCAATCTGTCATTACACACAGAACCCGGCGGAGGCGCAGTGTAATGTCACTGTCAGAATGGCATCCCTGGTTACCAAACTAGGGACGCCGTTCTGTCATTACACACAGAACCCAGTGGAGCCCCTGTGATATCACTGTGGCTCCAACGGGTTCTTAGTGCAATGACAGAACGGCGTCCCTGGTTACCAGGGACGCTGATGTGAATCTGCACGTGGTACAAAACACAGAGAGCGCCTCCATAGTGTAAAAACTTTTAATAAAACATATTAAGAACGGCTAAAAAGGTACTCACAAAAGTGGAGTTAAAGCAGACATGAAAGATCATATGTAACAGACTAGACCTGCCGGCTATCAGTCCTTCCTGGTTGACGCATTTCTGAGGTCACGCCTTCTTCATCAGAACCAGTTACTTTGTTTGTAACTTCGGGAGCTGTACGAGCTATAGTGAATAGCCAGTACAGCAGCCCTGAACCGAAGGGGTCCTGGGGCCGAAGGATCAGCTGAAGCTACGGCTAGATCCTTCGGCAGCTTTGTGAATAACCCCTAAGACTTTCAGAAAAAAAACAAAAACTGTCAGCAACACACTAGAAATGCCTGTATTTGGCATCCATTCAGTAATTTTAGGAGGCAATGTTTTAGAACCATGCAGGGTCCCTTCATCAAGCAATTAGTGGTCACCAATTACCTGATAAAGGGACCTTGTGAGGTTCCAAAACTTTGATTTCTAAAATTGCTGAATGAACGTCCATAGGGGGGTTTCTTTTAGATGAAGAATAACTGGTGTGCTTTTTTTGCATGGATTGAATGCGGTGCCATCTGCACAGCACTGCAGCACCTAGAAGAACGGGGTATAACGGTTAGTTGTGTGGTGAGGATATCTGGATGGTTCCAGAAAAACAAGTCTGACTTTCCAAGCAAAGGTACACAAAACAGGTGATAATTGCTGCACACAACAATTAAAGTTGCTATAAGCAGTTAATGACCACTGTACCTGCTAATGATTCTTTTTTAACAGATTTCTTTATCAAAAATGAAACCATTACTAAGAGAACTATTTCGTTTTCCATTGTGGACTCCTGAAAATGCCATTTGCCTGGCCAGAACATGCAGCAAATGACATCACAGCTCCTGTTCTGCATATTTATTCCAAGTTAATGATTCAGCAGTTACTGAAGCAACATACAACTCAGCAATGAGCATTTCCAAATTCTAGGTCAGCCTTGACAGCCTTCATACGTTTCCTATAACAGATTCCAATTAAAGTGTATATCTAGGTAAAAGTTTTTATTTAACTTCTGGATAAAGTGAGGAAAGGATAAATCCTCTGGGGAGAGATGTCTTCACTTCTGGTGGTGATAAGCACGTTGTTACCAGGATCGAAAGTGAGGGAACATCTCGTACAGGGACACAGACCATAACAGAGAGCTGACTGGGTTTATAGCCTTCTTTCATTGTAACTGAAACAGGAAACGAGGATAAATCTCCCCAACGAGATCACATACAGAATGAAAACCTGCTCGAGATTCTAACCCTTGCCTACTCTTATCAACACTAAAAAACAAACAAATCATAGCTGGTATTCCACTTTAAGTAATGGTTTTAGGCCAATTTGCAGTCGCCGGACCGTCAAAATGAGTTAGTGGGTCACTAAACACATTTTCTCCCTTGTGTGCCAATGCTTTGCACAATGTCTAAAATATCTACAAGGCACATTATACACAGCATTTCAACAAGGCTATAGGCAAAGCAGCATTACATCCTGTAACAAATTCCCAGCGCAGAGTAAATGGCGAGGTCTCGTGCAGAAATGTTTTCTCTGCATTGCATCAAAATGACGATGAACACATATCTAGGTGACAGCTAAGTGGACATAAGCACTACAAATTCAGGACATTTCCCATAGAGAACTGCCTACGGCTACAATACTGCAGTAGTAAGAGCTCGGGAGCAATCCAGGATAACAATCAGCTACATACACCGCCAAGAAAATCCAAAATCTGGAAGAAATTCCATTGCTGAAAACTTGCCAGACCTTAAATGTTCACCACTCTGTAGCTGATTTTTAATTAGTAATATGTATTTCTGTTAAGCAGGGATTTATTATAGTGGTAAGAGGAAAGGTTTGTGTTTTAAATGCTGTCTCTGGGGG